CCATCCATGCCAGGCTTTGGCAGGATCCATCCATGCCAGGCTTTGGCAGGATCCATCCATGCCAGGCTTTGGCAGGATTGCCATCCAGCAGTTGTCCCCAGCCACGCTCTGGAGGGTGGGCAGCAGTGAGTCAGACAAGCTTTGGGGACACACTCCTGTCACACTGCTCCTCTCAACAGGTCTGCACAGGCCTCCTTTACTCTCTGTCAGGAGGAACAGGTAATTAAACAGCTGATCCCCACAATACTTACAAGTTTTATGGCCTTGTCAAAACATCAAAAGTTTTTTAGTTTCTAAATGGCAAACAGAAAATTGGTATCTGTCAACACTTTAGTAAGCCAGGGATATCAAATATTACCACTACTTCTCTTACTTGAAAGTAATTTCAGACAAAAATTCTCAGCCTGTAGATTCTCCCCTTAATCATGTGCCACAGAGTTTCCTTAAGACCCTTTCTTGAGAATAAATAAATTTTTTTAGTAAAAAACAAATAAAATTATTTAAATTTCTACAAGGGGAATATATTTTTTTCAAGCATTAAGAATATTTTATAGACATATTTCCAGTGAACACATATTGCTTCAGTAGGTCTAAAATAAAACTGAAATTTTTCCTTTTAGCAGAAAGAAAATTGTAAGGCTTTTAATCTCTAAAAACTATTGTTCATATTCTAAGTGAGCCACACAAAATGAAAGCTAAAACTAGCAAAGGAAAACTTTGCATATATTTAAAAAATATATATATCTTCACACAATAAGAATACTACCACTATCCCCAAAATCAGCCTCCAGTAACAGCAGCAACTTAGAAAACAAAATGCAACTCAAGAAGCAAAAGAACAATGTTCAGGAAAAAAATGCTGTTCACAGGTGCCTCGTTTTGTATCACCATCCAGCTCTTGTTTGGACTTGAACTTTATGGCATAGGCAAGGTTCATGATGAAACCTGAAGGAGGAAAATAAATCTATCATCTTCCCTCTTAATAACTTGGAGCCAGACGCCAAGACAAGTCAATGAATATTAATTTAAAAGACTGCTCAAATGCATTCTGTTCCTCAGCCTCTGCACACTGAACCTTGCCTGTTCCAGATAAGGGACATGCTCTTGAATTAGATGCTGTCCTGGAGATTGTGCTGTAATAGCAGGAAGTGGGCAAAATGTAACTGCAGAACAAAAACACAGGAAAACAATGCCAGAGAGTTTATTTACAGCAACTAAGTTTATCACTACTCTCTCTGTCTTACTGAGGAAACTTGAAGAAACATCCTTGCTGGCTTTGATGAGACATCTGAAATTCAGGATACTTAGTCTTCTATGACCAAGTATAGGTTGCTTAACACTAGAGTTCTCAGGGGGAACCATGAACCCTAAAATTCTCTTATGTTATCTCTTCTATGCTTCCATTAAAAATATCAACTCTGTTTATCTGAAGCCTTGTCAGTCCATCTGCCTTAGAGTAGATTCTTACACCTCATAATGGCAGAGAAAAGCCCAGCAGTGGTAAGCCACTGGCTCAAATACCGACAAGTGCTATATTGAAGTACATTTTATTCATTTGTATTTAATTTTGGGAGTTCTGCAATTGCCCTTAAGTGGACAAAAACAAAGCCAGGGGAAAGGCTCTAGTGTAGCACAGCACTCAAGCCCCTGAACACCTGCACAGAACTGCCCTGCAGGATCGCTTGAACAGAAAAACATGAGCAAGTTCAAGAAAAGTATTGAAGTCACAACACCCCACAGGCTCAAACCTGACTTATATCTGGAAGAATGGGGTAAGTATTAGCCAATCTTGTTAAAATTGATTCCCTACACAAAGCCCATTTTCTTCTCTGCCTTTTTTCCCCCTCCCCTTGTGTTACTAAGTGTAGATACACTTTGATCCTCGGGCTAAAAATATTTTTTGCCTTTCCCTCCACACCCTATTTGTATCTCTAGACAAGATATTCACAGTAGCCGTAGTTAAAAAATAACATATCATTCAACAGCTGTTCACTACAGTTAAAGCAAAAATAATTAATATCTTCTGATGAAACACGTTCCCACAGTTCCTCACCCTCACTAAAATGCTTCGCATTGTTGAAATAGTATCTCGTTATACTTAGCTGATAGGAAAACCATGAGGAAAAATAAAATATTTTCTGAACTCTAAGAACCCTCAATGCAGAAACTATTATTCTTTTTAATGAAAAATAAGGCAGTACAATCACTATGTAAGGGGCAATAATGTGCATCTACTACAAGGAAAAAGAT